TTAAACAGATAAGTATCTCTAGTACTTTTCATATTTGGATTCTTTAAATATTTCAGTATACAACTTGTTGGACTTACTGGTTATTTCTGTCCTTACACTGCTTACCAAATTTGTTTGGGAGTGCAGGAGAGTAATGTCTTTGTTTCTTACTAAAATAATCCTTTTTTTAAAATTAACATATAATATATTATTTGCCCCAGGGGTATAGGCCTGTGAATCATCAGGCTTACACACTTCACAGATCTCACCACAGCACATATCCTCCCCAATGTCCATAACCCAACCACCCTCTCCATCTGTAAAATAATCTTGTTGACTCATGTTATTCTTTTTTTTCTAAGATTTTATTTATTTATTTGAGAGAGAGGGAGAGAGACTGATGGAACGAGTGGGAGGAAGGGCAGAGGTAGAAGCAGACTCCCCTAGGATCAGGGAGCCCGATATAGGACTTGATCCCAGGACCCTGGGATCATGACCTTAGCTGAAGGCAGATGCCCAACCCACTGAGCCATCCAGGCACCCTCATGTTACTTTTCTAACCAAAAATATTATATTTAAAGCCAAGGACAAAATGAGAATGCCAACTATCATCACCTTAGTCAACCTTAGATAGGAAGACCCTGTCTAATGAAATAGTATGAGATAAAAAGAATTTACTTAGATGGATGAGACAAACTAGCCATTACTGATAGATGATATATTTGCCCATATGGGAAATCTCAGATCATTTTAAAACAAGTTATTAGAATTCATTTGAGTTTAACATTTTTGCTAGACCCAAAATCTCATACAGTAGAAGTTACCAATTATAAAAGACAATAGATGTGGATATTAACAAACTGATTCTGAAGTTTATATGGAAGGAAAAGATCCAGAATAGCCAACACAATATTAAAGGAAAAGGACAAAAGTTGGAGGACTGACACTACACGATGTCAACACTTACCAGAAAGCCACAATAATTGAGACAGTGGAGCATTACAGAAATAACAGACAAATGGATCAATGGAATGACGGAGAGCCTAGAAACAGACCTACAAAAATAAGTCACTGATCTTTGACAAAGGAGCAAAGGAAATGTAATGGATAAAGAAGTCTTTTCATCAAATGATACTGCAACAACTAGATATCTACATGCAAAAAAACCCCAAACCTAGACATAAACCTGACCTTTCACAAAAAATAACTCAAAATGGATATGCAAAACTATAAAATTCCTAGAATATGCATAGGAGAAAAATTAGATGATCTTGAATACTGCATGACTTTTCTAGATATCTAGATCTTCTAGATATCAAAGACATGATTCCATTAAGGAAAAAAAATCTTGACTTCATTAAAATTCAAAAATATCTGCTCTTCAAAAAACCATGTGAAGAGAATGAGAAGACAAGCCACAGAGTGTGAGAAAATATTTGCAAAAAAGATATCCAAAAAAGGATTCTTCCCCAAAGAATATTAAAAAAAAACTCTTGAAACTTAAAAATAAGAAAACAACTAATCCAAAGACCTTAACAGATACTTCACCAGAGATATAAAGAGGACAAATAAACGTATGGAAAGATGCTCCACATCTCATGTCATCAGGGAAAAAAAATTAAAACAACAGTGAGTTACCACTACACTACTATTAGCATGGCCCAAATCCAGAACACTCAGAACAACCAATGCTGGCAAAGATATGGAAAAATAGTAAGTCTCATGCATTGCTGGTGGGGATGCAAAATGGTATAACCACTTTGGCAGGCAGTTTGGTGGTTTCCTATAAAATGAACAGTACTCCTACCATACCATCCAGTAATTGTGCTCCTTAATATTTACACAAAGCAGATGAAAATTGACATCTACACAGAAACCTACACAGTGTTATAGCAGCTTTATTCCATAACTGCCCAAACTAGGGAGCAATCAAGATGTCCTTCAGCAGATGAATGGATAAATAAACTGTAGGACATGTAGACAATGGAATGTTACTGACTGCTACAAAGAAATGAGCTTTCAAGCCATGAAAAATCATGAAGGAAACTTAAATGCATATTACTAAGCAAAAGGAGCCAATCTGAAAAGGCTACATACTGTATGAATCCAACTCCATGACTTTCTGGCAAGGCAAGACTATGAAAACATCAAAAAGATGAATGGTTGCCACGGGTTGGGAGAAAGAAAGAAATAGGTGAAGCACAGAGGATTCTTAGGGCAGGGAAACTAATTTATATGATACCATAATGGTAGATACATATACTTCTACATTTGTTCAAACCCATAAAATGTACAATACAGAGTGAACCCTAACGTAAACTATAGATTTTGGGCAATAATGATGTGTCAGTGTAGGTTCACTGATTGTAACAATTGTGCCACTCTGAGGTGCTGATAGTAGGAGAGGTTGTGCACAGCTAGGTGCAGAGGGTATATGGGAACTTTTGTACTCTCTGTTCACTTTTTCCGCAAATCCAAAACTTCTCTAAAAAAGTACATCTATTAAAACAAAAAGTGTCATGAAAGATAAAGACTTGAGAAACCATCACAGAAGAGAACTAAAAAAGAGAGAGAGAGAACAGAAAAATAGTTCATTTACAATAGTTACCAAAATCACAAGGTAACTAAAAATAGAAACAAAAGGGCTTACGGATAAATTTTCACAGCAGTACTAAAAATTTGAAAAAATAAGATATCCTCAGTTCATGGATGGAAACACTTACTTCACAAATGTCAAATTTATCTAGAGATCTATAAATGCAATATACTTTTAAAAATTCTGAAGGAGATTTCACAGAACCTAACAACAACAACAAAAAAACTATGAAGAGAACAAGAAAGGTAAAAAGAGATTTGCCTTATCCCTACCCCAGAAAAAGTCTTATTATTATAAAGTTCTGGTAGGTAATTGAAATAATATATATGAATTCCATGTATGATAGAGTTAGCATCATGTCCAATAAATGCTCCTGGGGTAACTGGCTTAGCATAAGGAAAACATAAAATTTGATTTCTACCTGAAAGCATATACAAAAACAAATTGCAGATAACTTAAAGTCCTAAACGTGAAGAACAAAACTTTAACAGTGTCTACACCTAGCTATCAACCTAGATATTCCAATTTTAACATTTATATATTTATATATATAATAAGGAGAAAATAATTGGAAAAGAGCAAAAATAACACAAGCACAAGAATATATATTTAGGTCCTTCTATTATTATTTAAAATAGGAAAAAAAATTAAAAACCTAAATGTACAACCAAGAATTAGTTAAATAAAGTGTACATATATTTAGCTAACAAAACTACTGATGATGCAGATCTATACTACTGACATGAAAATAAATCCTATAAAAAGTGGATTATATAAAGATACAGTAATCAAGACGGGTGCATACCAACAGAATCTGTTCAATCGACAATAACACAGAACCTCGAAATATACCCACACAAATATGCCCAACTTATTTTTGACAAAGGCATAAAAGCAATTCAATGAAAGAAAGATGGTCTCTTCAACAAAGGAGCTGGGGCAACTGGACATTCATAAGTCAAAACACCCAAACAACAAACACAGAAAAAAAAAAAAACCCTTCATCTAAGTCTTACATTTCACGTACCTATGCCCAAATGCTCTAGTTCAGCTATCCACATGGCTCACCCCTTCACTGATTTCAGGTTTTTGTTCAAATGTCCCCTTCCATCCCACTCTGTGTGAAATAGTAACTCTCTTCTCCAGCCTCTCTATATTTATTTGCTCTGTTTTTCTCTAGCAATAACACACTTCAAGTTTATTATTTCCCTTTTTTCTGAAACTTAAAAAAAAAAAAAAAATCCTACCCTATAAGGCACTGCCATTCCAACTCAAATGGACCATAGGTTTTGTTTCCTTATGATTATGGGAATGAAGAGCCACGCTAGCAGAATTTATCTCCTGGCCCTCTCTCCCAAAACCTTTATACTGATGTCCTTTCTCCATCAGGCTTCCACCTATGCAAGCAACCACGATCTAATGCTGGCACTTTTGAGCCCTATCCAGGATGCCCCCTCCTCATTACCCTGGGGGTCAAGATGGCTGTTCTTCGCATCCTCTCTCCACCTTTATGGCATGCAGGCTCTGTGTCCTCTCCACCAGCCAAAGCAACAAGCAGAAGAGATTACGTAGGGAAAGCTAATTCACACTAAGGTGTATTGGATTCAAAAAGTAACTGAGGGAAAAGCAAACTCTTAGCGTTTCTAAGTGGAAAAGGAAAGATATAAAATGCATGGTTTGTGTTTTCGAGGCATTTCTGTTCCATTTATTTCTTCGATTTTTGTCATCTCTTTGATTTTGTCATAGTCTTTCTGCCTGAAAAGTCTTATTCCAGTTTGCCGTGATCCAAGTAGCATTTCCCCTCAGTTTGTCATTCTATTCAGAATGACCTCTTTCCTCTGAACAGCAAACAATGCCTCCTTCACCCACTCTTCCTAAGTGTTTTTCTACCTCAGTAAGTCTCCATCTCATATTGAATTTCACCAGAGTATGGCTTTCTCTCCTTCAAAATGTCTCTGAAAGCTCCCTTTTCCTTTCCACAGATCGCTTCCAGATTGTGTCCTACAGGTATCAGGGATCAGATCCACGCAATTAGTTCTACATAAAAGCTTGCTTTTAAAGTCATTACATAATTATTTTTAGAAGAAACTGCTTTGAGATGAAAAAAATACACCCTTAAACAAAGATCAACTTTGTGTTATTTTCCTCTGTCATTATGATAGGTAAATGCAATGTGATTTGCTTCTTGGGTTGTGTACAGAGACTTTCCTCATGGTTGCAACAGATTACAAACATATTTTTTTGATTTTTAATTTCAGTTTTCCTTGAAATATGAAAGCAAAGCAGTGAAATTTTAAAGAACTACATAGAGTATTCTGTGCTATGCCAATGGCAGAATAGATCATTTTAAAAAGAAACAGTGATTTTTCTGCATTCTGCATCTAAACTTCCTGAGATACACCCAGTTCCAGGAAAGACTACTCACCAGACTTCCTTGCTTTCAAAGCAATAACAGCCGCTAGTTCTCTCTGCACCTGGTAAGATATTAGGGGGAAAAGATCAAATTAGAATAAGAAAAATGTAGTTATCAAAAGCAGTACTTTGTGTTTAGGTATGAACTGAAATTAGGAGTTACGGCAATGAAAATTATGTTTGCTGTCACGTTTTGGGGTTTTGTTTGTTTTTAATATCAGGGAAAAACCTCTGTATAGGAATTTTAGGCCAAAAATCTGGAAGAATCATATTGATTTACTTTCACAAGAAATTAGGCAGTTGCCAGAATGTATACACTGTAAAACATTGGTATTTTGGGGAAGAGCCTCAAAACAGTAATTATAAGACACTTAGAAATGACACAAATAATCAATTACTAAAACATGCATGACACCTTGGTAAAAATATTAAATACTCTTTATCCCTTCAAAGATTCTAGCTTACACAGAAATTCTAGAAAAATTAAATAGGTGATCCTGGTGTACTTGGATCTCTACTCAAACACAATCAATGTTCATTTGAAGTCTGGCAGGTTTACGGCAACCATTTTGGAAAACATGCTCCAGAAAAGCAAGCACCACCCTCTCCCAGGGTAGGTGAAAAGGGAACAGACAAGACGACCTTTAAAACCCCTCAACCCCACTTATTTGTCCACATTTCTGCTTGCTCCCAGTCTCTCTCTCTCCACAGGCACTCACTCCCCCTCAACTTTGAAGGCTTAAATCCTTTCCTAAAAGCATTCCCAAAGAGGAACATAAAAAAGAGACAAAAAGATAACCACAGTCACTTTCAAAGACAAGATTAAAAAAAAAAAAAAAAAAAAAGGTACCATGAAGATAATCTTTGGGAAGTCTATGTTTAGCAGCAATAAAAACTCCACAATGCACAAGCTCATTCCTCTCTAGGACAGTCTTTTAAGCTCAGAAGTGTGCCTATGTTCAGGGGTTTGGAGGCGCTGGTGAGTTTGGAAGCACCCTGCAGCTTATTATACTAATGACATTTTAAAGGGAGAACACACAAGTTCAAGGTTACATAAGACTTGCTATTGAAGTTAATCTAATTTATATTCATTTACTTGAAGGCAAAAGTAGATCTATATGCTATACTCTGGGACCCTGCTGTGGACTGCTCTCTCAATGGCCAGGATCGTGGCCCCTGAGGAAGACAGCTCTCCTCCCCGCGCCCCACCACTGCCTTACTGCTGTGTTTTCTCCTCCTGGCTACTATGCTTCCCAGGCAGAAGGGCTTACTCTTCATTTAGCCCATTCTTTGATACCTTCTGACGCTACCTCTCTGGGAAATTATGCAGTAATGAGAAGGCCATCAGTCCCTCTCCAAGTTCTGAAAATGCTCACAGTAGGAAAATCTGCAGTTGAACAACTTAGGGAGAAAAAGTGGGCGATGGGAAAGAGAAGGCATACATGACCAGAGAAAAACCTTTACAAATACTTGTACGGGCAGTCAAATAAAAACAGCCACACACTAAAAACATCACTTACTGCATACTTGACATATTTGTAACAGTTCTATCGCCCTCTCTATCCAGGATTTTCTTCCCTCACTGTGTCACAAATACTTGGGGCAAAGAGGCAGACCATAAACATCCACTAGGATCTTGTCAACGGGTTTCTGACTTTATGACCTCACAGGGAAGATCCCAGCTGGGCTCACGGCCAGGAAGAAAGCACAGATGGGAAAAGCTGCCGAAGGCAGATCCCTTCATTTGCTTACAGAAGATCAAAAACAGTCTTCCTCAGCCTCCTCTCAGTTTCCCGAAATTCTCTTCAGCAGATCTTCAGTTTTTCTTCTTCTAATCAGAAATGTCTCAAAATACAAAGAGCTCAGAAAAGGAAGGTATTAGATTTCCAGCTTTGTATAACACCTCATCCTTTCAAAGATGTGGTAGGGCAAGAAAGGGAGAAAGGGAATGCGTGAGGAAAGGTCACAACATTTCAGCCGAGCTGGAAGGAGGGGACAGAGGGCAATGAGAGAGACAAGAACGTCACAGGTGAATGTAGAAAGAACCCAGGTTTAAAAAAAAAAAAAAAAAGTTTTAAAGTAAATAAGATTACTCTACAGAACCACACAAAATCCCCCGAGTGTCTGTAGTCAGGGAGGATTTAAAAGTGTGTTATGCGGAGTGGGGTGTGCAACGGCTCCCATGTTTTCGCCCCAGAATGGAGGCTTTTGACAAACACCCCAAGCGTAGGTATTCTTCCTATAAAACACAAAGGACAAAGCACTGATCAAGCAAAAACACAAACTAGCTAAGATCTTATTATATGTTCCTACAGCATCTCCACAGAACCTTTTTTTCTTTTTTTAGAGCACACTGCCAAGTATTTAATAGTTTTCAAATGAATGACTAATTGCTGTCTTCTAGAGGAGGCTCCACTGAGGCAGGGATCTGTCTGTCTTTCCTGGTATTATCCAGAGCCATCATCAACAATCACTCACTAGCCCACAGGGGGTAGATGCCTATGCAACTTCAGGAAAATCATGGAAAGGACCTAGGGGGAGAGAAAAACAACAAGGAGAAGGCATTCTCCACTAATAAGCTACTCCCAGGAGGTCTCTTCAGAACAGAATATCAGAAGGACTCAGGGCCTCCTCTGCCAATAATTATTACGTTTATACTGAAAACTAAAACTTTGCCCAGCTGCAGAAACAGAAACTAGAATTTCCTAGGAAGGGACTGGTTGGCACTGAACATAAAGTCCCGGTTCCAGCACCAGAGAGCCGGGATCCTGGCCCCCATTCTGACAACTTCCTGAGCCACCCCGAGCAAAAGCAGCCCAGCTGTGAGATGCTCCGAATTCCTGACAGTCAGGAACTGTTTGAGATAATAAATGTGTAGTTCCAAACCACCAAAGTCTGAGACAGTTTGTTCTCCCGAGGAGTCTTTTATAAGAAAATGACTATTTTTCTATTTGATCTACTCGTGTTGATGGTTAACCTTCGTTATTCTCTGTGACTGAAATGAACCCTCTTCTAAGATTGGGCTCAAGACATGTATGTGGCCAGAGCCAAGAGCCATGTGCTGCTACCGGCCATTTTTTCTATTTAATGTAGGTGCTAATCCGCTGCCTCGGTGAGTAGAAAGAGAGTACACTATTACCTTGACCTTCCCCATGACAGCCCTTCCCCACCATGATCTGCATCCCCTGGGGCTAGATGTAGTTCAGAATTCCAACGTTTATCCATTTCAGAGAGGGACTCTATCAATGTCACTTCCTTAGGGAGGTCTGGGGCAACAACTCGTCATCAGAAATCAGACACATGAATAAATTCTGCAGTGAAATGTGTAATTATTCATACCAAATGAGACAATGGAAGACTAGAAAAAGGCCTTGGGATTTTCCACTATACATGTTCAGAGTAGGTTAGGTTTTGTCACTGAGTAAGTACTGAGAAACTTGTTTTCCAGAGCTTTTGTGCTTCAAAAGTGAGTAAGAGATGGTAAACTTCTACAAATGTTCACTAAAAGCTTTTCTCCTCATTTTTTCCCCTCATGCTTCTTCTTATCAAATAGCTATGGAGTCACTGCTTTATTAAGAAATGCTTTCTTTAACTAGCTTGGATTTTCATCAAGCTATTTTGGTAGTTCCCAAGTCTGACTGCACTTTAAAATCACCTGGGGAGCTTTAAAAAACTTCGGACACTAAGCCCCAACTGAGTCCGACTCTGGGGAAGAGTGCAGAAAACTTGCTATGCTGTGGTTTCAAAGGTCCCTAAGTGATGGACTCTAGGCTGGATCCAGGGTTGACAATCACTGTTCTGTTCAATAAGGTATCTTAGTTTTCCGAAGACTCAAACTTTTAATCTTATAATCATTTCAAAAGGCAATCCATCTTTCCTTTGTAGGTTGTTCTCCTCTAACTTAATTCATTTGTGAAGGAACATGGCCTTCCCTGTAGTGTAGCTCTAGAATTAACACTATAATCCAATCAAATGATAAGACCGAGTTCCTGCATCAGCAGTTCCACAGTCACCAACGACTTGAAGAACAAGGAAAACTGCAAGGACACTTTTAAGATGCTGAAACTTTAACTGAAATCATAATTGATTCAATATACAAGAGCACTAAATAATTAAAAACACATCTGTAGCTTAGGGTATATCTGCTCTTATGAATATCTACACAGCTAGGGTAATTAAGGGACAAAGAAGACATTTGTTGAAAGTGTCCCTCTCCCCTTGTTACCCATCAGAAACATGTTGCAATATTTTAAACTTCTTCAACAATCAACAGGGCTGTTCACTAAACAGCCCTGAAATTCAACAAGAGTAAGAGCTGGTCTTACTTCTAGTGTTTTGTCTTCTCTTTGGCACTTTAGTTGTACCTTCAGCCCCCCAAATCCGAAGGCTCACGAAGTTGTTTTGTGGCAATGCCAAGGCTCAAGAGGCAAGAGGAAGCGTCAAGTGCAAACCGTGCGTGCCAGGGAGCATCTCTGGGAGAGGTTCACTGAGAAGACATGGAGGAAGAGACCCCTGAAAGCCACGTTGCTTAGAATGAAGGTCATTTTGGGGAGACAGAAAAATTGTGGCAAAGGCCTTAGCTAACCAAAGCATTGTCCTCACAAACTAACTTTGAATAAATTGCCAAAGATTTCCTAAAGGTTTTCAGTAAATCTATTTAGAAACATTTGAATTTTGATACCGTGATGGAAATGTTTTACAAACATAGAAGCTATTTTCTCAATTTTCTATATTAAATGGAAGAAGAAACATAATCCAATTCCCTGTTCTATTCCCAAATATACTCATCTTTAAACCACTCTAAAACCTTAAGCTAGTAAGGACATTAAGAACTCCAGAAAGAAACAGATAAACATGCTCCTTAAACAACACGCTTTCAGATAAGATACAAACTGAGCAGTGAGCCTTGGCTAGACCTCTGTCCGAGGAAGGAACACCCAGGAGCTAAGTTACAATTTCCTTTGTTCCTTCCTCAGAGGCCTGTTTTCCTCTTTCCAAAGTCATTATGTTGTTCCAAAGAACTAATATTGCCACAAGCCTGACACATGGATAATCTTGTGAT